AGTCTCACAAGCCAAGAAGGCGAGAGAAGCCCTGGCCCGACTGCCCCCAGAGCAAGACTCGTCTTGGACGTCTTTGCGGGCTTCCACGTGCCGGTCACAGCAGCCGTCGCAGCCCTGGGCTTGGACCACTTCCAGCCTTTCGATTTGGATGCTGACTCAGCCTTTGACATCTTGCGTGATCCCACCTTTGAGCTTCTTCTTCAGGTCTGTTGGTCTGGGATTGTAGGCTCAGCCCTCTTTGCCCCCCCGTGTAAAGAGGACAGCCGTCTCAAGCTGCTGCCCTGAGGCCCGCCGGCTCTGCGCACGCCCAGCACTTAGATGGCCTCCCAGATCTCAGCCCTCTAGATAGCCTGGGTTGATGCCTGCGTGTATGACATGGTCTTGGAGAAATCCTGGGCTTTTGCAAGCACGTCGGAGGACATACGATGCATAGCCTCCCAGTGCAATCATGCCCACAAGCACCAGTCCATCAGAGGCACAAAGACTTCAAAGGGGGGTTCCTCAGTAGCTCCTCTGCGCAGTACCGTCCAGCCCTAGTCCAAGCCCTGCCTCTGCAGGAATGCGCAAGCCTTCAGCCCGTGTTTGATGGCGCAGGCCGTCCCCGCTCGGCAGATCAAATTCTCCCTAACCCGTTAAGCCCCCTTAAAGAGTTGTCCAACAGACTGGCTGTCTCATTGGCTGCAGAGCTCGAGTCTTAGAGCCTCCATAGCGGCACACATCATTCAGCAAAAGCCTGACTGTCCCCTCTCAGAAGCCCAAGAGCAGGAAGCCCTCTCCATAATCATAGACACGCTGAGCTTGGGAGACGCCACAAGCCTCTCTGATGTGGAGCCTGGACAGCCCTTGCGCCGTAACCTCCTGCAAGCCCTAGCCTTGATACCAATGCTCAAGGCCGGGGTCACCACAAGGGGTCCACGAGCCCATACCCTCTAGCCTTCAGTGGCCTAAGAAGGCACAGCCCTATCAAGACTTCCTCCCCTCTTGGAAATGTGCGAAGGGAATTGGTCAGCCGCAGAGGCCAAGCCCTGAATTGTTCAGGCCCTCATAGACAAGGAGCGCATCTGTGGAGGCAGAACTGCAGCCCAGGCCCGCTCCGCTGGGTCGGCAAGCTCAATCTAGACCCGCGCCTGGTGCCAGACAGCACCATCTGCCAAGTCCTTCCAAATTGCAGCCTGCTTACCCACAGTCTCCGATGTCTGCTTCTTTTTCCAGCCCTCAGACCCTCACAGCAGGGGGGATTCTGCACAGGCTTGCAAATAGTCTGCCAAGGCTGCCAGACAGAGGGCGCCTACCTCCAGCCCCGTGCATATGCAGAAGTCCATGAACCTGAGACAGAGGAACAAGTAGGGTTGCAGTGCGCCGACTGCGTGCTTCTTGATAGAGGTAGCAATGTGTTCTGCTACGTTTGTCGCTTGCTGTAGCTGCGTCCAGGGCTTGCAGGAAGCCTGTCCAGGTGACGTGGCGCGTGGTGCTTTTAGGGATGAACGGCGTACGGGCCAACGAGGCTACGCCCACTGCGAAGGAAAGGCACCTGGCCAGGCCTGGAGAATTCGATGGAATGAGGAGGTCTGAAGTCCTTGGCAGCTCCCGTTGGACCACAGAGGCGCACCCACACCTGCACACGACCAGCTTTCGTTGTCTTCACTCTCTGAGTCGTCCACGTGGACTGTGCGAGAGGCTGCCAGAGGCAGAAGGCTTGTGTGGAATGACAGCTCACGCAAGGCTCCCTCAATCTCAGCTTCTGACAAGACCGTGGCTGGCACGTCGTCGACTGCCGACAGGAGAGATTGCGAGCGCGGGGCTGCCGAGAGTGGCTCCGACTGAGTGTCAGGGACCGCCTGATCCAATTGCGCATGTAACGTTTGCATTGACACGCTGCTCCATGGATCGTCTACCGTGTCTGCTAGCAGTGCTCTTCTGCTGTCTGAGCCTGAGGACTGAGGTGGGCTGCCTGTGAGAGCTGCTCTTGCACAAGTCTGACTTTCGCGGGCTGAATGTCTGAAAGGCAGAAGCTTAGGCTGAGACCGCGAGGTTGTACTTGAAGGCGAAAGGTACCTGCAGGGCATGAGGAATGAGGGCAAGGCAAGTCAGGAAACCCTATAGTGCGGCAAGCCAACGTTGCGAAGGAGGTTCTCTTTTGGCATGTGCTGCGCGCTAAAGCTACAACCACAGCCTTCTTCCCCTAAGCTGCTAAGGCTGGTTAGTGCCTGCTTGTGTATGGGGGCAAGGCAAATGAATACGCAAGAAGGCTGAGACTGACAGCAATGAATGCGCCAAGAAATTCAGAGCGACAGGGCTGTTACTGCACGGGACTGACGCCCCGAAAATGCAACGCAAGAAGATGAGCTGGAGGCTGCTTGGGCTGCGCAGGGGGCTGTGCCATGTTAGGCTGTGGGGGCTGCCTGGGGGGACTGGGAGGGCCTGCTCGAGCTGGTACTGCTCCGAGATAGCGCAGGGCGGCGCGCGCCGTCCACCATGCGGCAATCAGCCTGGGACGCCGAGGGTTGGCCATTTCTCCACAGGAGAGGGGCAGCTGCAGAAGAACATCTCTCATGACGACCACGGCTCGTTGAACTCCGGGGGCGCAGCACGGCCGACCCAGTGACCGGAGGGGGAACGTCCCCTGAAGCAAAGGACGCACCACTTTGCTGGACCATGGCGCTGCAAGGGCACAAGCTACGGAAGCTACAAGCTACACAAAAACTACAAGCTTGAGAGCTGCGACGACTACGGCATAGCATGTTTGCACGGCAACAGCATGTTTGCACGGCAACCCTTTGCAAAACATCCGTTTCCAGGCTACGAGCCTGTGGCAAACGTTGCCTACGTCATTCAGCTCTCAATAAAACTCAATCACGCACGCGCGAGGGAAGCGGCTTGAAAGCCTCACATCCCACCTTGTCTGATGTCTTGGCCACACTGGCCACGTTTGAGCCAAAACGACTTGAGCCACGCACCCCAGCCCACCCAACATGCCCAACAGCCCGACCAGCAAAACTGAGCATCAGAAAAAATCCCAATTTGCATCAACAGCATCAAGGGGTTAGGGCTCGGGCGCGGGCAGGTCTAAACCCTACCTACAAATCCTAAAAACACCTAGACCGGCATCCCTCCTAAACCGGAGAGAACCCTAGCCGGCCAAACCACAACACCCCTAGCCCCAACCCTCCCTTGACAGCCCCAGAACGAACTTGGTGAGGTCGTCGCAAGTGCACTTCTCACCGAGGATGTCAATCAACTGCTTCAGCTCAAAGGCGATCATAGTCACGGAGCCCATGGCAACAATCCTGATCTGTGCAGCGCAGTTGGGCGACAACCAGGCCCCAGCCAGCTTGGACTCCATTCCCCAATGCCAGATGTTCGACATGAAGCTGTCACCTCCCTTCACGCTGGAGATATCCACAAGCGCCTTCTCATCCACGGGCTTGACATCACTTGGCACTCCTCTTTGCCATTGTTTACCAAGACGGCCGCCTGGGCTTTGCCCTCGGTTTTGAATGTAGCTGCCTTCTTGCACCCTGCCGCAAACTAACTCAGCCTCATGGCCATGAGGCGGGTGTTTTTCCATGTCACGACAGCTGGGGAAGCCTGCAAGATCCAAGGAGCATCCATGGCCTCAGCATCCATGGGTTGGCCCTCTCACTCACGGTCGCCCACTCGCTGGCATCCACCAAGAACACCTTGGGAACGTTATGCTCCTATGCCGCCTTCTTCACCTTGCTGGCCTCTGCTTTGGCCAACGCTGTTGCTTTCGCAACCTCCTCCTTCTCTGCTTCCTTTTTTTGGCCTCATCCTTTTCTGCTTGTCGAGCCTTTTGGGCAAGGTAGCTCTTCATGTCCGAAGCCACCTTGGACAGGCTTCGAATCAACTGCTCAACGCAGGAGGCGTCATCCTTGGAAGCAGCCACAATGGCCTCCACCATGTTGACACACTCAAACCCAACACAAAGTCTTCCGAGCCCAACCAATGTACTGCTTGATGTGGAGCAACTTGGCATCCTTCACCAGCTGGACACCAGCCTTTGGACTTTGAACACAGGCACGCAGCTTTTCGTCAGCGGCTTCCAGGGGACCAGGCGCGGAGATCTGGGTCCAATCAGCTGGCTGCACTGCATCAGCGGGAACCAAAGCCAAAGTCATACGCAGGGCATGCGTCCAGGTCAACCTCAGCCTCCCACGCGGAAACCACATCCAAGGCAACCATCACATTGCTGAAGTAGGACAGAAGGACGTTGTCGCCTTCATTCTTGAGCTTCTCAGCTTTCTGGCGCACATCCATCAGCTTGTCCTTGGTTGCCTTCATTAGCTTCTCCAAGGCAGCCTCCTTCTCCTGCATCTTCTTCTCGCAAGCAACACGGTGCGCCAAGAAGGCAGGACCCTTTGCCAACTTCTCCAGGCGCTTCTTCTTTTTGGGGTCCTGGAGAATCCAGAAGGGGGCTTCAACATTATGTAACAACACCCAACGATAACATCCACAAATATGTGACATAGACAAGATAATCCCAGAAGTGAGAACAACCATAGCAATATTTCTTAAACTTAACAACAATAAACTTGCTCGACTTAGTGCAAAGTGTGAAGACTTCCAGAATATCACCAACACAAACGAATACAGGGGCAGCCAAACTTCAGGGGCACCGTTGGTTTGCGGTTTGTGTTTTGTCTCTGGATCTGACAATGCATCGACGTCAAGGCTGATGGTTGTAGGTTAACCCAAACTAAACCCTTGCCAAACCCTAAGCTAACAGGTTCCTTCGCTGGCTTCACATTGCCCCTGCTCAGACCCCCCTACTCAAGTCCTCCGGAGTCTTCGCTGCGTCAACATCGGCGGATGTTCGGGAAGTCGCAGTCGGCTTAGTGGGAGTCACTGGTGGATCTGCATCATCAGGATTGTCTTCCAAAGTGACGCCACAGGTGCCAGCCAAGGTCTGACCGTTGAAGAAAGCATCCTGGTCCATTAAGGGAGGACCCTGACGCCACACTGAGATAATTCACCAGGACATTTTTCAGATCGCCCTTGAACGCGAAGTCTTTCTCAACATCGCCGCCCTCTTCCAATTCCCACTCCTTGGCTTTCTCATCAACCCAGCGCTTCTCCTCTATGACGGGTATCCAGAGGCGCAGCTGGTCGTCCAACCCCTTGGTATCGCGATCCACATTGGAAGCCAGCCATTTTTTCCACTGGTTCTTGGATTCCGTGTCGGTCCAGCCCATCTCGTTGGCGCCTCGCTTCAGCCATTGCTTGAACTCGTATGGCTTGCACCCTTTCCGGGAGCGACCAACTTTGCGCCGCTTCTCGAAGGTACCCCACTGGGTCACGTGCTTCTTGTTGAACTTTGAATCGTCCGGGTTGTTCACCTCGTACTCTGCCATGACTTCCTGGGCTTTGCTCAGGGTGGCACACGAAGCACAAAGAGTCGCTGTCTCGCCGGCTTTCTTCGCCTGCGTGTACATGTTGTCATATGCTCAATTATGCTTGGCAGCGCACCATCGTTTCGCTACCAGCCGGGGCTCCTCGCAAAGCTCGGCGAAGCAGCTGTTGTCACCAGTGTTGGGAAGATCCTTTCGCTCCCCAGCGGCATGCCGCTTGCGGCCTTGAGATTTGGCCTTCGGCTGAGCAGCAGGGGACACAGCAGCATCGGCACCAACGAAGTCGTCGCCCTCGAACATGGTGTTGCAAAGTCACAAGCGGCGCCAAATGCGCAGCAGGCACGAATGCATCCTGTTATGTCACAGTCCACATGACATGGAAAAAACGGCGAGCAGCAAGCTCTGTTTGCTAACCTCAAGTGCTTCAGTTCAAGCTCCTCTCGCACTCGCACTGCTCGGACTCCAGGCCCCAAGATCTCTTTTCAAACTTGCGCCACCGTTCCCCTGGCAGTCGCACTCAGAAGCAAGCTCGCATAAAACAACGCTGAGCTGGCAAACTTGGACACGTTCGTGTCTCAGGGTTCTACTTCCTCTGAAGGTCTAGAAGATTAAAGCCGACCACAGCTAAGAGATTGAGAGTTCATGAACATTTCACGGCAAGGCAACAGGAGCTTTCAAGCTCCCTGGCGAGCACGCTTTGAGCCCTCGGTCGCCTCATTGGCGGCCTCATCCAAACTCTCAAATGAACTACTTCCGCCCTTCACGAGCAAGTTCCTCTCGGGCTTGCAACACATCTGGCTGATCTGGTCCAAGCTGACGCAGCGCAAAAGGATGTAAAAAAAAGAATGATGCCAGAGTTGGCAAATGCCAACCGTTGCCCAGCAGCTGCTTGGCATCCTTCGCGTTCAGCCCACTCAGGAAACTGTTGAGACGACATGGCACCGGACGCTTCGTGTGGGCAGGGCGGCGGTTGAAGCCGTGCATTAAGTAGAGCTCAGCTGGAGTCACCCAACGATTCGGGCTCCAGCAATGAATCGTTCCGTGCGTCAACAGACACGGTAACGAAGTGCCGGGAATTGATGTGCCCCGCACGGCCGCCTGCTCCAGGTCTGCAAAGTAAGCAGAACTACAGCGGGCTTGCCTGCGAAGATCGCTGTACTCGCCTAGCCTGATCAAACCTGTCCAGGAGCATACACTTGCTCGGCACTCAACAACTCAGCTGAAGTTGCATCTGCAGCTGGAGGCAGGAAGTGGCTGCCACGTTTGGCTGCTAGGTGACATTGCTCTTGACGGACCTCCACATCAGAGGCAACCAAGAACACCCCAGCATCTGCCTCCAACGTAGTCATAAAGAAATCCTTGCAGCAGTTGGTCGTCTGTGGGACCGACCTAGCTTGGCTCGGTTGACGGATGCATGGAAGTTGTGGGTGCGCCGGATCGGCCACCCCAGCTTCAAAGGGTCCGCTACGGACAGGATCGTGTGTCTCGGCCAGGGGCTGGAGTTTCACCTGCGAAGTCCAGCATTCAACACATGTCTGCAGCATCAACAAGTGAACACACTGCACCTAAATCAACAGCAAAGAAAATTAGCGCCTTCGCAGGATATCTGACGGTACATTCGGATATGACAATGTCTTCTGCGCCGCCATCTGTTCTCTCAGCTTCTAGCCGACGATGCGCCAGCCATATGGTGCGCGGCTCCTCTGACTTGTCCGCAAAGAAGAGTTGCTGGCCTGCTGAGGACCAACCGCGGCAAGTTGTCCCTGCAAAACTGTGGGCACGTACGCCGTCATGGGTTTAAATTTTAGACGATGCGCACAGCCATCCTGGACGGCATTTGTGCAGCTGGCATCATTATTGTACGCTGGTAGATCGCGTCCAGCGATCTGGGGCCTTCCCCACGCAACAGCAAGCCCAAATGTGGCTGAATCCGTGGATTATCTCCACTGAAGCAGATGGGTTCCCATCAGGTTCAACCTACTCACGCAGAGGATTGAACGTTAGGTCTCACACGCTGACAAGAGTGCTGCCAGCGGGGCGATGCTGCCACAAGATGGCGACCCCAGCGCACCCTCTGCAGCAAGCTCAGGAGCCAGAGCCAACCACGGACACAGGGGGGGGCGCCAGCACGACACGGAAGGGACGGGGGACGCAGGCGATGGCCCATCCCACCAAAACCCTGAAAAACTACCACTGAAGTCACGACTCCACCGACAGGGCCAGCAGAGCCACACCGACTGGGCACAAGGCAGAGGGGGTTTAAGAAGCCATTCAACTCGCCGGAGGGGGATCGCCCAAGCACTCGTTTACAGACACGCCCCTGCTAGTAGAGCACGAGACCCAAGCAGCGGCGCAAGGGCAAGCATTTCCACCACCACTCGTGAGGCTTTGGGGCCAACAACAGCCAGCGAAGAGGTGCTCCCCCCAGCCGCACCCCAAGAGGAGACCGTGCGGAGAGCCCTCTGTGTTTGAGTCGAAGCTGGCCCAGCAGCGAACTACCGGTGCCACCGGCTACCGCCGCAGCACCAGCCCCTGCGGGAGACCCCGTATATTGGCCCTCGGAGGGTCGGCTCCACGTCCTACAAAAAGGTTCCTGGTTCAGCCCAAACAAGATTCCGCGCTTATAAGTCTCACTGCACCGGGGGGGGAGAAAAAGTCTCTAGCGCTGCCTGCTACGTGACTGAAGCCCTGTTGTTGGATTTGTTGGACCCTGTTTGACACCCAGGTCGAAGAGCAAGATGCCAGGACCTCAACACCTCCGACTTAGCGCAGGGGTCTCCCCGTTCACTACGGTCAGTCACTGAGGAAATCGTCCTTTCTCATTCCTCGCTACCGGCGGGCATCATGGCGGTGAAAACCGCCACCGACTTTTTGGCCAAGACGATTCGTCAGTTTGTTGGGGTGGACATGAAGGCTTGGCTAGACAGCAGGGGAAAAACCCAAAAAAACTGCAGTCGCGGTTGCGCACCAAGAGAAGAGGTCTAACCTCACACGTCATCCTGAGGACGACCTCCTACGGCTCGCAAAGCAGAACCTTGCAGCGGAGAACAGCAGCAATCTCCAGCAAGACATTGAGCGGCTGCTCCAGTGCTGGGGCTCTCCCCTGTCTGAAAACGACTATAACTTCATCACCGGTCTGGACCGACAAGGCGTTGAGGCACCGACTGACCTCCTGACTTGGGCCGCCATCAAGGTTAGTCAAGAGTGGAAACCAGGTGCCCGAAGCGTCCTCCGGGTTGACCGCTGCAAGCAGAGCCAAGCCAAATGCGCCGGCTAGAGACCGCTCCCGGTCTAGTGAACGGCCGAGCAGCTCAGAGGTGAGGCAACAGTAAAAAGGCGCCTTCGAGTCAATACACGTGAGGAACATAGCATGACCAACGGAAGCCACCGCAGCAGCCACGGCAAGCTTCATAGTGTCCGTGTTTGCAACCCGGGTGACAACCCATGCCCCGGGCGAGTACGGACCCTCCAGTGTCACGAGGGAGGGCCCACGTTGGTCCGGAGTATACCTGGACCTTGCTGTTGACCCAATATTTTGGACTAGTCTTATATGGGGTGCTCTTGGAAGCCAAAATTGGACATGTCTAAAATATTGGGTCTTTTACTTGGAAAGTGTGAGAAATGGTTAATTTCCTGGTTACCACCCAATAAATCTTCTATGCACAAAGGAATCCTGAAGAGTCGCCAAGAAGATCTGCTCAGAGAGAAATTGACCCGAACCTGTTACTCTGGAGGTACCTTCGAGCGT